GGCCTTGTTTTGGTAAGGTGTGTGATTTTTAGAGGGTGCAGTCTACTTGGAGAAAGTCATTCGAGGGAGGATGAGTCTCTCTTCCTCCTTGAACTAGCCCTCCCCCCCCCATCCTTCCACTCCCTAATGCACACACAGCATGGAGTGAAGAGCTAGCTGCTGCATGTTCTCCCCGCCATGAGAGGGGTTGTTCCACCAATGCCTTCTGCACCATGATGAATGCACCCTTTCAAACCATGAGCTAAAATAAACCTTCCTTCCCTTAAGCTGCTGCATGTCAGGCATTTGGTCATAGCAACAAGAAAAGTAACTAACAGAGATACCTGCCCAGCCTCCTACCTCTGCTTCTTCATGGTCTATTTTCCCTTATAACATCCACTCACCTCTTAAAAGCAAATCCAATCATATAACTTATTTCCTCAAAAATCCTTTAACACAAGGAAAACGAACCATTACTACAATCAACAACGCTGACTCTCACAAAAGTCATTCTGAAGGCTGTGGGTGTTGCTCCATGAGTTAGCACAGCATTAGCCTAGTGTGGTGGTCTCAAGGAAAATGGCCCCTATAAGTCCATGGGGAGTGGCATTATTAAAGGTGTGGCCTTGCTGGAGGAAGTGTCTCAATGTTTCACATTGGGGGGCGGGCGTTGAGGTTTCAAATGCTCTAACCAGGCTCAGTGTCTCACTCTCTTCCTGCTGCCTGCAGATCTGGATGTAGGACCCTCAGCTCCTCTCCAGCACCGTGTCTGCCTGCATGCTGCCATGCTGCCCGCCATGATGACAATGGACTAGACCTCTGAACTGTAAGCCAGCCTCAATTAAATGTTTTCCTTTATAAGAGTTGCTGTGGTCATGGTGTCTCTTCACAGCAATAGAAACCCTATGACACCTAGCGTGCACAAGATTCTGGGTTCTAGCTACAAGTCACAGGTACAGTGAAAAAGAAATGAAGGTACTGTATTCTGTTTAGTGTTTTTTTTTTTTTTTTTGTGTGTGTGTGTGTGTGTGTGTGTGTGTTTTGTTGCTGTTGTTCTGAGACAAGGTCTCCCTGTATAGCCTTCACTGCCCTGAAACTATGTAGACCAAGCTGGCCTCCAATTCACAGAGCTCTACCTGCCTCTGCCTCCCAAGTGCTGGGATTAAAAGAATGCATCACCACACACCTGCCATGGTTTTGTTGTTGCTGCTGTCTACTTTAGTAAGCAGTATTGTTAACACATAGAAGAGTGTCAACATGGTCATTACCCAGAAACCTCAGCACCCACCAAGACTGCCCACTGCTACACTCACTGGCCTCTGTGGCTCAGATGTGCCATGTAATCAGTTTTGTTTTTTTAAGACTTATTTTCAAGGTGTATAGGTGTTTGCTTATGTATATCTGTGCACTACATGTATTCAGTGCCCAGAAAAGGGTTTTGCATCCTCAGAAACTGGGGCTACAAAAGATTGTCAGCTGCCATGTGGGTGCTGGGAACTGAAAATGGGTCCTCTGGAAGAGTAACCAGTGCTCTTAACCAGTGAGCCATCTCTCCAGTGGCCCCTGCCCACCCTTTTTGAGACAGGGACTCACTATACACCCCAGAGTGAGCTTGAAAACTGGTCCTCCTGGCTTGAGCCTCCTGGGCGCTGAGATACAGGGATGCGGTGCTATGCTAGACTTGTGATCAGATTTTTAAAAGTTTTTATTCGTGTGAACATGTTTGTTTGTATGCAGGTACCTGTGTGAGCGCACACGTGCCAGCATACATGTGGAGATGAACTGTCAACATCTGATGTCTTCCTCAATTACCTGCCACCTGATTTTTCGAGACAGTTTCTCATTCACCACAGAGCTCATGACTAGTCAGACAGCAAGCAACAGAATCCTCATCTCTGCCACCTCAGCGCCAGGATTGCAGACGTGTGCTGCTGGACCTGGCTTTTCACGTGGGGGCTGGAGATCTAAACTGGGGCTACCATGTGTGTGCCACAAGCACTTTACTGGCTGGACCACCTCCCCAACCTGTAACGACAATTGTTTTTTTTTTTTTTTTTTTTTTTGGTTTTTCGAGACAGGGTTTCTCTGTGTAGCTTTGCGCCTTTCCTGGAGCTCACTTGGTAGCCCAGGCTGGCCTCGAACTCACAGAGATCCGCCTGGCTCTGCCTCCCGAGTGCTGGGATTAAAGGCGTGCGCCACCACGCCCGGCGTAACGACAATTGTTTTAAGTGTGCTGCTGCTTTGCCCGTCTGGACCACTCATCAGCCCCTCAGTGGGGCTAAGGTCCACCAAACATTCTCCTCAGGAAGCCTACTTTTTCTCCTTTTTGGCCCTTACCATGATATATATTATACAAGGATGAGGATGTTCTCTAAGAAGTCTTCTAATATTTTTCACCCCCACTTACTGAGCTGTATACTCTAGAAGGGACATTCAACACTGTTCTGAGTGTTCAATAAATAAATGAATGAAGAGGGCTGGAGAAACGGCTCTCAACGGGGGTTGAGAGTACTTGTTGCTCTTGCAGAGGACCCGGGTTTGGTTCCCAGCACCACCCATAACTCCAGTTTCAGGGGGTCTAACACCTTTGTCTGTCCTTCGAGGACACCAGGATGTGGTACACAGACATACATGCAGGCAAAATACTCATGCACAGACAATAGAGTAATAAATTGAAAAAAAAATAATCAGTGATTGAAAGAACCCCGTCTCAAAAACCTTAACTGTTATCCCTCTATTGCCATTTTCCGGAGCAGACTAGCCTTCCCTCACCCGGAAGCTAACTGCGTGACAGAATGGGATGTGCTCACTGTAAGAGGGAAACCATCAAACATCTGACACCTGTGGATATGATGTCACACCTGCTCTCGCACCAAGTACCAGGTGATTCAATGAGGAAGGACAACAACTCCAACAGGTAGGGCTGACTCGACACCCTGGAGGAGCTGGGAACCTCAGTCTTTGGGGTTTATGATAAACAGAAGCAATTAAAATTATACAAGCCAAAACACCAAAGCCGGGGTTGGAGATTTAGCTCAGTGGCAGAGCGCTTGCCTAGCAAACGCAAGGCCCTGGGTTCAGTCCTCAGCTCTGAAAAGAAAAAAAAAGGAAAAAACAAAAACAAAAACCCCACCAAAGTTAAAATTAAAACTGTAAAACTTCCCAAAAAAATACATGAGAAAAGGTTGGGCAAAAGACACAAGCATCGTGGCCCAGGAAAGAAAAAGACAGATAAAATGAAGTTCAAAACCATTAAGAAGAGGTAAATGATAGGCAAGAAGAGCATATTTTCAAAGCATGGCTGACAAAGGGCTTCATCTCAGAGACGAGTTTTAAGTTTTGGGGGAGACTATAAGTTTGAGAGACGTGAACTTCACACTGCTAACAGCTCTGTCTCCAATTGGTAGGTGCATGCAACCCTCAGCCCGCCGAGCGCCTGTGCCACCCTGACTAGGAACAACTTCACATTACCCCAGGACATGAGGGCTCACTGAAGGGTTTCAACAAAAAAGACTTAACTGAAACAACAGTTTAGATATGTCACCCTAGATTACTTATTAATTAAAACCAGAAAAAAAAAAAATATATATATATATATATATATAATGGAAACTGCTGTACTTTTCTATTATTTGACAAAGCATGACAACCAGGAAAGCTGATTTAAAAACAAAAGCATTGAATTGGCTTCTGGTTCACGGGGTTGGAGTCCACGATGGTGGAGCAAAGGCATGGAGATGACCGCACCTGAGCTAACACAGAGATAGATCCACAGCAGGGGGAGAGACAAGCCTCCTTCAGCAAGACCACACCTTACCATTCCTAAACAGTTCATCAGCTAAGGACCAAGATCCAAACGCCCGCCCGAGACTCAGGTCTTAATCAAACCGCCACGGTGACATGTAACAGCTGCCACTTCAACAAGTGACTAGCAAATACTCACCGCAGTGAGACATCATGATGACATGGCTCTGACTGGGACATGCCAGCACAGCATGATCCTGGAGTAGTCTTTCCAAGGTTAAGACAAATCCAAGAAATAAAACCTGGGACCTGCAAGCCGGCTCAGCTTAAAGGTGGCTGTGTAAGCCTCACAGCCTGAGTCTGATTCCCAGACCCACACAAGGTGAGGGAGGAAACTGACTCCACCAAGTCTTAAGTCTTCTCTCTCTAAACCTGTAAACACACACACACATATACACGTGCATGTGTGTATACATATGTGTAACAACTATGGATATATATATAGACAGATATAAAGATACAATCTGCCAGTCCACTGTGTTGTTCGCATGTACATCTGTTAAGGTTTTTTTTGTATTGATAACCGCACTGGGGCTCATCTCTGGAGAGAACACTCCCCCCCTCTTAGCAGTCATTACTTGCCATAGACAGTTTCTAAGAACAGGACCCCCCCTTATTAGCATGTCTATCGGCACCGTTTAGGCAGCCATATTGTTGTGTTACCGTGGGCGCAGCTTCCTGGTCATTTCCAGGAGACACAATCCTTTTTGTTTATAATCTCGTTTGTGGCGCTGGGGTTGGACACAGGGCCTCCTCCCACGTGCTATGCTCTACTCTGTCTACGTCCACAGCTGCAGCTAATAACTTTCAGGAGTGTAATAATGCTAATCTGACTTATAAGAGAATTCCTTATTCTTAGGAAACCCATGTCTTTTTTTTTTTTCTTTTTGTTTTCAGGCAGACTGGATGTGAGATTTGATTTGGTGGGGTACAGGACAGCACAGCAGAAGCCTGAGGAGTCTGTCACTTGTCAAGGGCACCGTGAGTGGGTTTATACTTGACCCCTCAACCAGGGAACTAATTTGCACTTGCCTCTACCCAGAGCCTCAATCACATTGAGGCTCCTTATTCTGCAGTTTGGTACGGATGGACATGACGACCTGGCCACTGTGGTCTGGGGCTCTCCAAAGGCACCATACGTACCTGTCTGGAGCTTAGTTTAAGGACAGCACTGAGATCAGACGCACATGAAACTACCAGGAACACAGCTACCAGGAAACTGTCTCCAAGGTCCCTTAGGGCAGCCTGTACAGGTGACAGGCAGCAGCAAGTACTATCAAGGACGCTGCTGTTCGCAGCCCCTGCATACCAGGCCTCCATCAGAAACCTTAATCTACAGCTTAACTGGCTGTAGATTCTGTAGATT